GGTTTAGGGTGTAGGTTTCTTGGGGTTGAGGGGTTTGGGGAATGCTTTAGGTTGTTTAGGGTTCGGGGAGGACTCTCCCTAAACTCTAAACTCTCTGAAGTCCATTTTGGATCAGACTTTGGGACCCTGCCCGGAATTCTGTTTATATATGGGGAGTCTCTCATGACGGCGTGCCCGTAGGAGTCTTAAGGATTTACGGGAGTAGGAAGGGTATATGGGGGGAGGGTCCTTATCGAAGCCTCTTATCTAGGGACCGCTTTGTCTTGAGAAGCCCCCACATAAGTAAGGGCGGTACCCTTAGGTCCCGAAAGCAGGTATAGGGACACATAAGATCTAGGGCTTAGAGTTCAAGGTTCAGATTTATTGCTTGCGAGTTGTTAAAAAAGGGTAAACGTGGGGACTCAAGGATCTAGAGGGACTATGGAGGGGGGGTATGGGATCTCTGATAAAGGGACTGTTTACAGAAACTTCCATGTCAAAAGGCGCACCCTGAGGCGCCATAATTTTACAGGAACAAGTAGGGCCTTGGGCTTAGATTTTGAGGTTCTGTCGGGTTTCGTGGTCATTTGGGGTTAGTGCTTTGCGGGGCTTCTCAAGTCTTGGGCTGCCCTAGTGACCCAACAAATACATAGGGAGCATAGGCATAGGCGATTCTGAGGATTCCCGGGCCTCAATCAAGAATTTCAAGGTGACATTTTGAGCAACACATACTCCTCGTAAAGATTTCCTTTCAGAGCCGGCGAGCGCCCGGCCAAGATTCTGAGTCCCCTAAACTCGCTAAGCATCTTGGCGTGCATCTCGTCTGGATTGTCCGCAGTGCCTGCTTGCATAAGTCCCAAATCCTTGAAACCCAAAAGCCCTAGAACTCCAAAACTTCAGCCCTAAACCGTTAACGCTATAAACCCTAAACCCCGAAACAGCAGACAAGCTAACAGCAAGGAGCCTTCTCAACACATACAAGAATCTCCGGTTCTACCTGTGGGTGCCTACCTTGAATGGGGAGCAAAGGAATGAACAAGGCGTTGCTAAAGGAGCATGTGAACGGCTTATGGAGGCCACTATATGGATCCACTCCCGCTATGCCCCCGCAAAAATGACGCACCAAACCTCGAACCCTAAACCCAGCCCGAAGCCCTAAACCCCAAACTCTGAACCCTAAACCCCAAACCGCCCCTCACATGCCCCTCATATGATGCTCACATATCCACCATATACCTAGGTAGCTCCCATACTACCCTAATAAGCTACAAGGGTCCGTGTCAGGGTACCCTCTGCAAGGCCCTAGACACCCTAAATCCCTAAACCTGAAGCCCCTAAACCTTAAACCCTAACTACACCCTGCACCCAAAATTCCAAAATCCCTACATCCCTAAACCCTTTTTGAGTCACTAAATCCCTAAATCCCTGAACCCTAACCCTAAACCCCCCAAATCCTTAAACGCCAAAATCCCAAATCCCTAAACGCTTAGTTCCTAAACCCCTAAAATCCCTAAACCTTCAATCCCCAAATCCTAAACCCCCAAACCCTTAAACCACCCCAGAAACCCTAAACTCACACCACGAAGTTGCTGTGAGCCTACTGGAAGCTCGAGACTCGCCGAGCTGGACTCCCTGACCTCTCCCAGGGAGTTTTACTTTGTAGCCTTAAGGTTCGTTTGGGGTTTAGGGTTTGGGGTTTAGGGTTTGGGGTTTCGGGTTTAGGGTTTGGGGTTTAGGGTTTAGGGTTTGGGGTTTAAGATTCAGGGTTTGTACCCTTTGGTTTGGGTCCCTAAGCCATGGAATGTGGTCCCTAATACGGTACCAAACTTAAAGTCTGTGACCTCTCCCAAAAGCCCAGTAGCTGCAATAAAGGGTTTAGGGTTTAGGGATTTGAGGTTTAGGGGTGTACGGATTTCATGTTTAGGGGTTTAGGGGTTTAGGGATTTGAGGTTTAGGAGTTTCAGGTTTAAGGGTTTAAGGTTTAGGATTTAGGGCTTAGGGGTTTAAAGTTTAGGGGTGTAGGGCCGTAAGTTTTAAGATTAGGGGTGTAAGGTCCAAGGTTTCACGGTTTAGGGTTTAGCGGTTTGGTTGCAATTTACTGGGTTGCTGTTAAGGAACTTGGCGTAAACTACGATGATTTGGATACATAGGGTTAGGGTTAAGGGTTTAAGTGTAAGTTACCATAACAGGGGTATATAGTAAACAATAGGGCTTCCTTTGATGGTAAGTTAAGTCATGTTCCTGAAGCTGTAACCTAGCAAACTGGTAACTGTCGCCCGGCTTAGCCCCAAACCGTAAAGCTTTTTGCCACCGGACGGGAAGCTTGTCGACGGGAACACTAAACTGTAACCCCAAACCCTAAATCCTACATCCTAACTTAGGGTTAGCCAGGGTGGGTTTGGGGCCGTTGGGGTTGATATCAGCTTAAAGGGTTTAAGGTTCAGGGATAAAGGTTCGGGGTTTAGGGTTTATGGGGATTAGCGTTTGGGGTTTGGGGATAAAGGCTTAGGGTTTAAGGTGAAAACTCCTTATAGCGGGTTATAGAGGGAGTTGCTTCAACGGGGGAGCATTATAGGGCTCATCGAGGTGATAACAGGAGTTTAAGCCATGGCTCATATGGGGACTAACAATAAAGAAAAAGTACATGTTGGTTTCAAGCCTACCGCCAAACCTGACATTAAGCCAACCTGCGACGATTTTGGGGGTTAAGTGGCCCACCCCACTAAAAGGGATAGTGGTACTTTTATTGAAGCCATTGTGTATTCCATTGTGCGACCGTTGCTGGGCGGGGCCCTTACCTTAATGATAAACCACCCTTTGGGGTGAGGCTTGGTGAGTTCGTCATAAATTAGCCCAACGGCAAACTCACGCCCTCCCTGAATAAAAGGTACACCCTAAGCCCCGGCTGCTGGACCTGCATTGCGATAACATTGCGGAATGATCAATAAGTATCCTGTTTGTAATTGTAGGGGAGGGATGTTCTACACTGAGGGTCTGTAGTCGGCGGGATTCTTGCTTAAAGGCGCTGCTGCGACAGGTGGACCATTAGATTACCGGTGCCCTTAATTCCAGTAAGCGATTGCATTTCCATCTTTCTAGACTTTATTGGGTTGCTCGTGCTACGGATGCCATGACCGTCATCGTTCTATTTTCTTTGATAAACCTCTTCCAAACCCATTCCCTCAGAGCAGCTGCTTCAAGCAACATATGAAGCCGACAATTCAACGTTTCCGGACCTGAGCAGAAGCCCATCCTGGACGCGGGGACCTCACAATGCAGACACTGCATTTGTGCTCTGGGCTTTGGGGCGGTTACTTTCTAAGAAACCATGGGCCCTTAGTAGGGCCCTTAACACTTGGATCCTTGTGTGGATCTTCGTCACTTGCGTCAAGGCAGCAAAGGGCAAACCCTGGCGCTGGCGCGAGGTCTGAGGTACTATGACTTACTGGTTCTTAGAAGGGAATAAGGGAATACACTATATAGGGATTATGTAGGGATCATCTTCCCTTATTCCCTACTAAGAACCCGTACGATGACTGCCAAGCACCAGCATTTGCTTCTAGAGCCCGTATACGGCTAGCACACTCCTACAAAAAATTTTGCGCTCGAAAGCAGTCGTGCACCGTTTACCTCAGCAGGTGCTTTAAGCATGGCATCTTACAGTTGTACCGATTGTGGTGCGAAATGGTGTAAACACAGCTTCGAGCCTAGCAAGCTACTTGTACTTTGAACCTGCGAGTGTACAAAGATGCTTCCTTAAGTTTCAGCATTCTTGCTGCTTGCATGTTCCTGCGAAATACATTCAAGGTTCCTGATATTTCTAAAGCTTCTGAAGAGCAGGGCCCAACCCAAAACCCTGTTCTCTTAGGAATGCCCTCCATTTCGACTATGAGGACCCAGAAAAGTAGACTTACAATTTTTAGCGGCCGCCAAGCCGTTAACCTTCCACGCGGTGATGGACTAAATCCTGCATACATCTGCATACCCTGCAGATCTAAGCCCTTGGAAGTATGGTGCGAATGTATACTTGGGGTCAGGCAGGATTTCGTCCATCAACCGTATAACCGCTATACAAATCTGTTTTCAGGTCATGTTCCAAGTTTCCTGTCGGTTTGATTCTCCATTCTGGGGATCATATCCCTACTACTACATACCTCTCTGATCCCTATATAATCCCTATATAACCCCACTATATCCCTGTTTTTTAGCCCCTAAGCCCTCACCCCTAGACCCTGAACCCTAAGCCCTAAACTTAAGTTCACCCGGGCCCTGAGGTCAAGTAGCCTCCGCCGCAAAGCGGCCCCAAGGGGAGTCACCTGCTTGGCAGCAAGCGTATTGCTGGGTTGCTGTTAAGGAAGTCTCTACCGATTTGGGAGTTTCTCAACAGGAGGCTTTCTAGAGACTTTAGGATATATGGGGATTATAAGGGGATTGTGGGGATCCTTCTTAGGGGTTAGATAGGCTTCATTTTGAGAAACTCCCATTTCTGTGCCAGGGATTACCACGCCACCTCTTGTTTTCATGCCATGCGCACTCATTGATGGTCAGCATTGATTTGAAATGGTCGCGTTCCAACGCAAATACGTACGTGGGGGAGGGCTAGCCCCCTTTGAGGCTCAAAAGTGCCGCGGAGCGAGCGTACTCCCACGGAAGAGACAAGAACACAGGGATCGCTCCAAAGCCCACGGCCTTCAACATAAACATCATGAACCGCCCAGAAGTGTTAGCAATTACAATGCTGAAGCACTGCATCATACCTGGAATAAAGCGTGTAAGGAGATCAAGCATTTACTAATACGCCGAGGTTTGCCGCCCTCTTGCCGCAGCTGAACAATCTCGGCAGCAAGACAAAATCGCGGTTGGCACACGCGGAAACTCTGGGGCCCTTTAACTCCAAAACTTTTCTCATTCGTCTTACGTACGCCGCGGTGTTCCGTGGGGTCTGGGGCTCGAAGAAAGCTTCAGATTTAAGGTTTACACTTTGTGCCCCCCCCCAGACCTCAACACTGGCTTCTTGTGGCTCAGCGCGGCAGGCACAGGGGCAGAAGAGAACTCAGCACTCCGAAGGCCTTGACGTCGAAAGAGTGGTCGCCATCAGGCAGCGTGTCCGGCGTCAGGTGCACCTCTGGAGCCTTGCGGAGCGCCTGTGCCAACAACTGGCGGTAGGACCCTGGCGTGGACTTGTTTCGGTTGCCCCAGACGAGGAACATCTTCACGGGCGTTGTGTCACGGGGCAGGGCACTCAAACGTTCCGCCAGGAACGAAGGGAATGCCACAATCGGGCTGAAGAAGATCATGGCCGAGACCTGCTGCGGGATGATCTTCATGAGCGAGGCGTACAGGGCGATGCCGGCGCCCTTGCCGAAGCCGCACAGGATGACGTTCTTCCAGCCGAGGCCAGCATCCCTCAGCTTAGGCTCGGCAGCTTCCACCAAAGAGCGGGCCAAGACTTCAATGTCATGGAGCATGTCCAGGTCCTCGTTTTGGAAAGACTTCCTGCTGCGCATGTACCAGCTGCCATCTGTCACCTCAGGGGTGTTCACCTCGAACTCAAGGAGACCCTCGCCTGCAGGATGCTGGGACCAGGAGAGTGAAGACAGGCCTGCTCGGCCCAGCACGCTGGCCACATCCTTGAGGGCCACGCTCTCGGCCTTCGGGTTGTCGCCCACCCAGAGCACCAGCGTCTCTGGCTTTCTCTCGCCCAGCTCCATGGTGGAAGGGAGGGGACCCTCCGGCGTGGTAGCCGCCATGCTTCCCTCCGTGAAGAGCAGCTTCAGCCAGTCTTCCTTGAGCTTCTCTCGCTCGTCCTCCTCGTTCTTCACTGCAGCCTCAGGGCCCTTTGCGGCTGCACCACGCTGGGCAGGCTCATCCATGGCTTCAGGGTTATTCTGAAGCTCTTCCTGTAGTGTCGGGAAGATCAGCACCACCTGTGCGCTGTCCGACGCATCGGCCGCCCGCGCGAAGGCATCACTGATGGCATCTTCGCCCACCTTGTAGAGCACCGTGTCCAAGCTAAAGCGGTTGGCTCGCACCAGCTTGGTGATATTCTCCATGACGTCCATCATCTTTCGGGCATTGGCCGTCAGCGCATGAACCCAGCGCGCGATGTTGAAGCCAATCAAGCTGCCACCCCAGGCGGAGAGGAGCGGAGGTGCGATCTCAATCGGCTGAGCGATGCCATGGCCGTAGACGACCATCTGCGCATCCTTGTCGCCTGGCTGCAGGCAATGGACCAATTGCTCAGCAGAGTCACGGGTGGCGATTCCATCCAAGGCAAGTTTGGGCAGCATGCGCTGATTGCGATCGCGCCAGCGCAGGAGGGCAACTGCATCTGGAAAGACCTCCTCTGCACCCATAGTAAGCAGCCACTCGCTAATGCGCTCATACTGTGTCTGCACATTCTTGGGCGGCTGGGCGCGGGTGTCTGCATCCTGCCAAGCGCTCTTCGAGCCATACTCACCCTTGACCAGGTTCTTTGGGGCGCCTGGGAGAGGTAGAAGGCATAGTGGCTTCAGCTTCAGCAGCTTGCAAAGCTGGAGCAGAGACGAGCCAGCTGCCGACAGGTGGGCAGCGTTCAACAGCACGGAGTCTCCGGGCTTTAGCTTGGCGCCAAAGATCTCCAGGAGCAAATAGGCACAGACAATGGTCGGAGCCAGGCAAATCTGCTCAGCTGTCAACTCCTCCTGCACCTCTGAGGGGATGCGGATGAGATCCTCCTCATTGCAATGCAGGAGTGTACGCGAAGTGCCGATCGGCCTCTGGGAAGAGAACTTGGTGGGCTTCGGAAGGACGAGAACCATGTCTTCCTCCTTCAGTTCCTCACAGCGGGCACCAAGCTGCTCAACCTTGCCGACGCCAATCATTCCCAGGCAGACACCGGACTTGTTCAGCTCCGCATAGACCATGGAGTCGTCCACGGGCACAGCCAACATTCGGATGAGGATCTCATCGTGGTCAATCGACTTCTTCACTGGGCGAGGCTTCGACTGAACCTGCACGGCCCCTCCCAGCGTCTGGCCATAGGCATCGGTCTTCGGCGAGCCCAACACATGCTGAACAAGGCCGCTATGTCGCACCTGCCGTGTCATCTCGGCGGCGTTGAAGAGGGCCGTCTTCATGAAGTCCTTGTCGGTCATGACCATCTCCTGCTGATCTCTCTGGCGAAGCCACTCAGAGAAGCCCTCCTCATGCGCACCTTGAGGCCCCTTTGAGATGCGCTCCTCCATGTTCACCACCGCCTTCTCATCAGCCTCCTTGCTACGAGCCTCTTTCTGCAGGCGGCCGCCGCCAAACGAGTCTGCGAACTCCTCCTCGGCAGTCCTGTCCGTGCGGCCGGTCGCATCATAGCGCCGGCGTTTGTCCTGATCCGTGAGGACGTTGTAGGCCTTGTTCAGCAGCTGGAACTTCTTGGGGTCTCCGCCCTTGTCCGGGTGCTCAGCCAAGACCTTCTTCCGGAACTCTGCGCGGATCTCCTGAAGCGTGGCACCGCGCTGCACACCCAGAAGCTCATAATAGTCAGGCTCTGGCACGGCGGCCATGGCTGGTCGGAACCCGGATGCGGAGGGCTTGTTGCTAGATTGAGCTGGGGATGGCTGTAGCTCTTGTCATTTGCGTTTAAGGCCGTGCGGTATGCATGGACGGATTTGCTCAACCGGAATCATACTTGACATCTCTCATGGAATCCATGGACTTTGCAGAATATTCTACAGGCCGCCGCCAACCCTTCAAATCTCATGCACAGACTCTCGCGATGCCCCAGGCCTCCTGGTTCGTCCTCCATGCCATCATACAAGACTGTCGGGCCTGCTGAGACTACGGGATTTACAGGATTCTGGGCTCATGGGTATGGGTATTAGGGCATGAGGTTCACGAAATACAGAAAGGCATTGATGTGTCCATTACCCTCTGCAGCGCTCTACAGCTAGCTTCACAGAGGACCCCTAGTGCGGTACCTGGAAACTTGGAGATGAAGGCAGGGACGATTGGACAGTTCCGGCACCCAAGGGCGCCCATGCAAACCTAGAGATACAGGAGCCCCCAGAGATCATGGGTAGTTTCCATAGATAGAAAGCCCTAATGTACATCGCCATGTTCTGAGTCTCTCGCAAAATTTCAATCGCCGAAGCCAAAAAACATACCAGATTCGCACACTCTGGGGCATGGCTCCACAACTCGTGACGAAACCTGCCGACTCCCGTCGGATTTTGTGGTCAGGTGTTGCCTTGCTGAAGCAAATAACAATGCTCCCGACCCCTGCCCCCCACCCTAGCCCAAGGCATCAACGGCAACAGCAAAAAAGCTCCTCTGCTCCCATGTGCGGACATGCAACGCTTTTAAAACTTGGGTCTGAGGTGGTCAGTGGATCTATGGCCTGGTCCTACTTTGGACATTATGCATTTTGTTCGACCTTACCAGGCCATGCCGCTTCTGCTTCCAGACGCTATGTTTCAATGGTGGTGTAGGACTTGTCCATACAAGCCTTGTCGCCCTGTCCGCGCGACCGGCCGCCATGCACAGCGAAAGACTATGCTACACTTGCACGCCTGAGCATGGTTCAAAGCTAGAGGCTACACAAGTTTGCACATAAAACATCACTTAAAATATGTTTTGACCGAAGAAGACACTGATCCGGGGCAGAAAGTAACCTTGTTGCTGATCAGGATCCCTTGTCCCCCAGGTTACCTGAATTCCAGCTTGAGAAAGCGGCGCGCGCAGCAGTTCGCTCAAAGCCGTGTGAAGCTTCCAGAACAACATATTTAGGTACGCAGGCAATTGCATCACAATGCATACAGGTACATTGATACCCATTGAATTGATGCCAGTATGGTTTGCAAGCATCTACGTCTGCATGTTGCGTCAGGAAGCCTCTGCGCTACTTAGGTCTGTGCCCCTCAGGTGATGCCAACATTCGCCGGTCAGTGTAGAGAACGTATAAATAGGGAATCCGAATTTTGAAAGAGCGTACATCGCCCTTCAAAGACGACCAGTCTGCAACAAGCGTGCCGCTTTTGGTCGAAGCTGAGAAAGAAGCCAGTGTTTTGCAAAGAAACCATCTCCATCCCGACAAAGCACTCACGCTTTTTGCGCCCTGCAAGGTCCTGCGGAGCAAATTCAGCAACACTGCCAGACGGAAGGCTAGGACCTGGCAGTTTGCATGGAATCTCAGTCGCGCACCCCTGCACGCAAGCAAATTCCTGCTCAATTCCTCCAACGCCACTTGCGGATGCTACTTGAATACTTGCCGCGCGCCCCATGCAAAGTATGCATGCAGCAGCATTGTTTCACCTCAAGTGGTGGCCATGGTCGTTGTGGAGGCGGGGGTGGCCGTCTCGGCAGCGGCGATGGCGACAACGACGGTGGTGCTGGGAGCGGTGCCAGCAGGGGCGTGCGTGGCGGCAAGCTTGCGGCGCTGGCAGCATCGGCGGCGGCAGTGGCGGAGATGCTTGCAGGACTTCGAGTTTGGTGCGAGGGCCTCCAGGTTGTGGATCAAAACTCGGCCACCCCCCCAACCCCGCCTGCTCTTACATCGCAGCTTGTTGTTGCATGCATAGTTGCAAATACGTACACCTATCCGGCAAATCGCGCGTGCACCTGGGCCATACTGTTGCAAGCCTTTGTGGAGAAAGCGCTGTCACAAAAGCTGCATGGTACCCTAGTGCCTTGCCGTGGGCCTTCGGACGCTGCAATATCCACAGTGAATGTGGTCGACGTTGTCTTACCTAATTCAGTATCAGAAGGGGAGCTAGAAAGCATTGCAACTCCCCATCCTCTGATGCTTGCGCGCCCTTCTTCCGAATCGTGCGTCACTCTCGAGTTCGAGAGTCCAAAGCCCTTTGAAAACGCCTGAGAAACCCTTTGGGTCCAGGTGGTTGTCTTGGCTTCCTGGCTCTGTACTGGCTTGCGCTGCAGGCCATCCTCTGTAGGAAGGCCTGAACACTCGCGGGTGCCCAAAACTCATAACGCCTCATAACATGAGGGGCCACTTCCGCTTAGGAAGCGGAGCCTGGGTCAGCAGCCAAAGTCAAGTTCGTTGTACAAAGACGGATGCAAAAACCTGCACAACTTTGCTGCGCAGGACACACGGGGATAGAACTAGGTCCCTAACTTCAAAATTTGTTGCGCAGCTTGATGGCCCTTGCTACTGTCCACAGAGGAACTCCGCACATGCAAACTGTTGCCATTCCTGGGAATTTGAGGGGCCTTGGGCTGGTGCAGGATTTCCTCCATCAACAGTACTGTTTTCCCTCCAGCTCCAGCTCGGCTGTAGCGCATGCAGGGGGAAAGCGGATCCAATGTAAGCAAGCTCGTCTCGAGCACACGCATCTCGAAAACCGAAACGAATTCAAAGGCGTTCTTAAAGCACAGCCTCTTCCGGGGCGTCCTCATTTCTTGATAGTCTCAGGTCTCCATGCGCAATTGCCACTGCCGCTGAGTGGTAGGCTGGATTGTTCCTAGGCTGCTTCGCAACTATCCCTGGAAAAGGAAAAATGAGAGGCTTCTGCGGGCGTGGTATTTTAAAAAAACTAGAACCAGCCTAGATTCTTGAGCAGGTAGGAGGTGAGGGTGCTGTGCTTTCGGCATTCCTGGACGCAGGTGTCCCAGGATGCATCCCCAACCTCAATGGTTCTCAGCAAGGAGCACAGGAACTTATGCCCTCAACCCTGATAACGGATCCCTACGGACCCTTCCCCCTTCTTCACCCTAAGCCCTAGGGTTCAGGGTTTAGGGTCCCTAAACCCTAAACCCTAGAGCCTAAAAACAAACCTCAAGGCGCCAACAAGCAACTGAAGCACGGCGGCCCATACAGCTGCAGCAGCACTCTCGCAAGGCAAAGCATATGGGGGACAGGAAAGGCTTCATTATCAGCTTATAAGTCCAAAGGAGAACGTAGTAGACCACAAAAGCCAGGAAAGTGCAGAAGATCCTGGGTATCAATAATAATAGTAATAATAAGAATAAGAATAATAGCCATAACAGTAATGATACTAGTAATAACTGTAGTAATAACAAGAATAGTAATAATGAGGGCTCAGGTTTAGGCTTCAGGTTCGTTTCAGGAGTTTGGGGTTAGGGTCAGGGGTGCGGGATAAATAAGGTTCTGAATTTTTTTTAGTCCTGATTAAAGTTAAAAAGTCATAGAAGCTTACAAATCCTCAAACCCTTTCAAGAATGATCCAGGATCAACCATGAACCTTCTCTGGCCATGTCCATCATCCGCGCCTCGCGAGGGTGCCAGGGTTTTCAACTTGGTGTCCTGTTTTTTCCGTGAAGCCTGAAACTTTGGAGGGAACACAGCTCATATCCTGACTTTTGCAGCCCTAAACCCTAAACTCCAAACCCTGAACACCAAACCCTGAACCTCATAGTAGTCCCACTGCATGCTCGGCTTGTCCCTTGCGGGGGCTGCGTTGTAGGCGCTGACGATGGCCTCGTAGTCGTCCTTCAGGCGATGAGACAGAACACAGAGTTTAGGGTTTTGAGTTTAGGTGGGCAACCCACCCAGTGGTAGTGATTGTAAGGGATAGCGGGATAATCGTAATTATATTAGGGTCATTAGGATCCTCTTATGTTCCTATTATAGCACTATTACGGGGTGGTGGGTCTATGGCTGAGGGTTTGGGTTTAGGGTTGGGCTGTAGGGTTTGCATATACCAGTAGCGAGCGTGATCTGGTCAGACTGCTTTTTGTGGCTGCGCTGCTCCAGGATAACAATACAAGCAGCATCTAATTAAGTGCCATCGCTATTTCGAGCTATGCAGTTGGGTTCCGCTAAGGCCGCAATAAATCCAAGGTTAAAGGCTGTCCAGGGGCTAAGGTTGGGATTTAGGGCTTAGGGTCCTTAAGCCCTAAACCCTCAACCCTCAAACCCTATTATACTACAGTGCTTGCCATTTTCTTTTGCATCAACCCCTATATCATCTAGGGTTTAGGGTTTAGTCGGCTACCCCGAGTATTGCGGCTACTTATTTTATGGGGATTATCACGAGTCTGGTGCCCCATAGACCCTGCCGGGCGGTTTTGTACAGCAGGTTGATGCTATCAGATGCATGCAATGGGCGTACAACAGTACTGTATAAATACCGTAGCTAAAACACTGAACTTACTTCCCTACAATCTGATGCCCAACCCTCAACCCTGAATCCTCAACCTACCGCCCAAACACTGCAAATCCTCAATCCTAGACCCAAACGCCCTTAGCCCTATAAGCCCTATAACACTATAACCCCAAAACCCAAGACCCTATAACCCTATAACCCTTACAAAACCCCTGACAGCTCCTTGGACTTGCCGAAAATGATTTCCACCACAAAGAAAAGGCTGCTCCACTCGCTGGGAACCAGGGTCTGATTACCTTGGCTTTTTAGGGCTGAGGACTTGGATCGGTTTAGGGTTCTGGGTTTAGGGTTTAGGGTTTGGGTTCTGGGGTTTCTAGGATTTTGGGTTCTGGGGTGTAGGGTTTAGGTTTGGGGCTCTTGGGATCCATGAAAATATGTGGCTGCTTTTCCAGGATTCCAATCCAAGGGGACTTCTGAATTTTGGTAAGCATTCGAGGGCGCGGGGGCCGGTGTGCTGCAAAAAAGCTGCGTCTTCCCATACGCCCACAGGTTGACACGTTGCTCAGAACAGAAAAGCCTCTACCATCCTGCTACACGGCTACTTACGAAATTGTCAAGCTGACAGTTCGGGTATCAGTGGCTGGTGGCATTCTGTAAGTAGTCTCTTCTAGTGGCTGAACCAATGAAGATTGCATTCTGCTTCAAGTATGTTTTCAACCAAGACAAACAAGTATACAATCTTCCTGTACATTGGGGACGGTAGCATCCTAATTCAAAATGCTACACAGCTGGTTTTGCAGGACATTCCTTGGTTGTTACGTGGACATGTGCCAAAATTATGCTTGCTGGCTCAAGTGCCTTTTGTAAGATCCGGGATGTGTGCTAAAATGTCTCGAAGGTACTCTACCAATCTGCTTCCGCACATCTGCCAATGTATACAGAAATAGCAAAGCTGTGTGTGTGTGCGCATGGATGTAGTAGAAGTCCGCCTATGCTCCTTACATACTTACAGCTTAACACATCCCAAAAAAAACTACCTCCAATGATTTGGATCAACTCAAGAGCCTAAACCCTGAATTGGAACCGTGGCCTTTCCCTAATTTTAGGTCAGCGTATTGAGGAACAAGGTTGTCTTCTATGCTACCAACTGTTAAAACTACAGGGCAGTATCTGGTAATAACTTGGGCTTGGGCCCAACTATAACCCCGAAACTCCATGAGCCATGCATTATACGGATTTATCTTTTTCTTTACTTGTTATTATAGCGGGGGGCGACTGTGTAATGCAAGAGCTCGGAATAGTAGTTCCCCGTTTTATTTTGCATTCCTCCTAGCTTCCCCAAACTGCCCCTGATTCTTCTGAGATGCCCGACTGCCCTAAATAACCCTAAACCCTTCAACCCAAAACCTAAATCCTTAGACCCTCAATCCTTAAACCCTAAATCCTTAGACCCTAAATCCTTAAACCCCACATCCTCAAACCCCAAACCCTGGATTCTTCTGAGATGCCCCAGCTCCAGCCTGCAATCACAGTGTGGAAGAAGGCTGCCAGTGGAAGGAAATTGAGGCATGTGTTTACGATGGCCTTCAGCACGCGGTTTAGAGTTTGGGGTTTAGGGTTGATTTGTAGATTTAGACTTTAGGGTTTAGGGTTGATTTGTAGAATCAATCAGGAGGGTTGAAGTACGACACCTAGTCAGAATCTGATTTTGAGGACGCAAAAGGCCATTTGTAACTTCCCACGATCCTTCCAGTAGGGTTTAGGGTTTCAGAGAAGCTCCCCAAATACCCTAAGCCCAGGAAGAGGGCCCCTTTTTTGGACATGATTCCGCCAAAGGTGAGGGTCTCCCTGCCTGATTGTAGGCCGGAGGCTTGGAGGAACCATGGAGCAGGCACCATTTGTCCAACCAGAAGGCAACAATGCTGTAGATGAATCCTACGAAGTAGAGGATAGGCATGCCCCCAGAGTACATGCAAATCACGAAGATCACAGTCAGGGTCTGAGCCATTCTGAGTGAGAGGTTCCACTTCGGAAGCTGGTAGATCTTGTTTAGCCGTGCCTCCACGACCTCTCCCCGAGAGAAGATGCACTGCAAGCAGGGCCCTACCACGAAAGCCATGATCAGAGGAGGGACCGTGGTGCTGAAGACCTGCATGAAGATGGTCAGGCAGATGCCTGTACCCACGGAGATGTACCAAGAGACGGAGAGTTCGTCAAACTGGCCGGTTCCGATCTGCAGGATCCTCAAAGGCAGTAAGACCTCAGGGAGGTCCAGAGAGGCGTTGACCAGCAGCACCAGCAGGGCTGTGTTCACCATCTGGGCCAGAAACAACTTCCAGAATTGGCTCTGCGCAACCTCTGTGACTGTGCTATGCCTCTCAAAGGCCACCAAGAACTCATAGATCAGCAAGAGGAGCCTAAGATCCAGGGTTCGCATGCTCGCACGTATTCAACATGCCGTAAGCCTCACAGCATGTCAAACAGGCGATCTCGGGAGCACCCCGCCAGCAGAACTCTTTGTCGTGAATCCCTAGACCTCAAACTTCACGTGTATCCCGAGGGTCCCGAGAGGAACCAGATTATGAGAAACCATGGGTGCTCACCATCTGACAAGCTGGCGTACTGTGTGATTGCATGGTTTATGGCCTGAGTAGCTGACACCCTGCTTAATTAATGGTTTGTTTCGTCGTCTGACTTTGTCTCACATATAAGCCCTGCGCTGCATGAGGGCGAGCAGCTGATTGATCACCAGCACAGCGGCAGCAGCCCCGATTACCTTCGCAACCTTCAGGCTGTTGTCGACGAGCCAATCTTCACAGACTTTCTTCTCCTAAGGCTCAGGGCTTTCAAGGGCTGGAAATTCTGCGCTGGACGAAACTTTGGCAGCAGTCCTCTGTGTCGTAGGGGGGGAGCAGGAATTCCGGCCCCTTGTTCAGCACCTGCTCACAAGTATCCCTATATAACCCCTATATAATCCTTATATAATCCCTATTCCCATATTCCCCTACTAACCCCCAGAATAGGCCTGCTGCTGGCAGAAGCAGTTGATGATGGGGTTGGACACCCGCTCGGTAGACCCAGCTCCGAAGCTGGACCACCTCTCTCTGGCCACCTCCAACTCAATGTCCAAAGAACATGACCTTACTGGGGGTTAGTAGGGAATATGGGAATATAGTATATGGGGATTATAGAGGGATCATATAGGGATTATATAGGGATTATATAGGGATGATATTCCCGTATTCCCTACTAACAACAAGTAAGTGACATGTCTGCTGCGATCTTGTTGTCGCGGGCCGTCCAGGTCCCGCTGACAGGCTGGAGGGTGTTGGGGTACATGGGGGCACAATTCTCCTCTACAAGCCAGCATGCCCGTTCGTTCACGTCTGCTGGGGGCACAGGGCAGCCAAAAACCTGGACCTCCGGGATCTGTTTGGTGAGGGTAGCAGCCCAGCACTGTATTTGCTGGGTATTGGCAAACTGAAAGCCAATCCAGTTCATGGAGGCAGAGTTCCCGCCACAGGCTTGCACATCGGAAAGCCTGGTTGCATTACTGCACTTCGAGTCCCATGGGTTGCTACAGGTCTGGCTCCAGCTGTAACCGTTGTCATAGTCCGTGAACTGGTCAAAGACCTTCACAGTGGACCAAGTCTTGGACGTGTCACCATTGCTAGAGCCTTAGCCCACATTACCCTAGGAAGAAACAAAGGATCCTTTTTCATAAATATAAGGAATCCCATACCCCAAAAAGTATAAAGGATCCCTAGCATTGATCCAGGAGCAGAGCCTGTCAGAGAAGAGCTCGATGTCGCAGAAGCTCAAGCACTCTGTGGTATTCCCTGCCTTGACCACCCAGGCAACATTCTCGTTGAGGCTGGCCAGCGTGGACTTTGACAGCGACTGGAAGTAGACCAGGCTGGCAGCACAGATGATCAGGAAGATCAGGGTCAGCAAGACGACCACGCAAACCCGGCAGGCGCGCTTCCACCAGGCAAAGTCCAAGTTTTCCCAGTACAGGTCACTCGGCTCACAGGCGCCGCGAATCTTGAGCGCACGACCCTCAAACCTCCGTGGCTCACCCTGACAGCAGCGGAACAGTGTGAACTGAGAGAAGCGGTACTCGTCCATAACCGCATTCTTGTAAGTCTCCTTTGCGAAGGTTACGAAAGCACGAACAACACCACGCTGATCGTCGCTTTTCGCTGCCTGGGTCCTAATGCTGCGATCCATGCGCAACATTTTGTTGTACTTGGCGATTGAGGCTTTCTCCAACTTGGCATGCTTGGCTTTGCTACTGGAGTCATCCTTACCCTCCAGCTCCTTCATGCGGATGACATCTCCCTGCTGAGCCAGGATCAAATCTCCCTTTGCCAGGAAGGTGCTGATCGCCCCCTGGTAGTCACGGACAAGGCACACCTCCACAATCGCATCTGGGTCTTCGAAGCCAAGCCTCTTCAAGACCTCCAGGAAATGGTTTCGAAGCTTCTCCTCTGCTGTGCAAGGCTCTAGAACAAAATCCTTCTAAAAGTATTTCCATTTCATTGCCAATTGTCTTTTCAATTTGCAAATGATTCTTGATTCTACATGCCTTGAAGTACTACAAGGCTCGGCTCTGGTCTTCCTTTGCCAGTGGGGCTGTTTATATAAGGAATAACTAGGGGTTAAGGGTAATCAGACGATTTAAAGCAACATGTTCGAACCTACCCGTGCAGGATCAAGGTCACTCCTCGTACTGCCTGTGACCCTCTTTGAGCTCGTAGGGCAAAACTGGGATGTCGATAGCGAAGTCAGAAGGCGTGACGTTGGCATCATCGGTTGCCCTGACTGTACCTGGGCGGCCAACAACGCGACCGCTACCGCAGCAATCCCAGCTCTGTTTGAACTCTCTACTGTAAGGCTTCGCCTGCAATCATCCTTGCTATCTGCAAGCCCACTCCGAACTCCTGGACGCCATCATCTTCTTGGCATGGGGCGAGGGATGTGGCAGGCTTGGAAGAATATTCCCCAGCCAAGGACCAGGAGGATGCCAATGCCATCCTAACTCATTGCCAGTTGCCGTTGTGGCAAAAGGGGTTTAGGGTCGAGGGCGCGGGGTTTAGGGTTAAAAGGCTAAGCATCCAGAGAGTGAGTGTCACAAGCTCAGCAATTGTGGAAATGAAGCAAAGGAAAAAACTGATGACCCATGATCTTAAGCACATGCTGTTGATGGAGGCCAGCACCCTAAGTCCGCTAGTTCCAAGGAAATACAAGAATGGGGTCCATAAACATGAGGCTCCAAGATAGACCCCAGTGTACATGTCTCCTTGTTATGGCGACTCCCAAGCGAAAACTCCCACTATAATTCGAAACTCCCACTAGAATTCAGGGACCCTAGCTGGGGCAAGATTTCCTCCAGCAACGGTGTGCATGTAGGGGCGCTGCGCATTTCTCAACTATGAAAAGAGCCCTGCGCAGATGGCTGTTCTTTGACGCGGGGGCTATCTCGGGCTTCATATTCAAAGTCCTGCACCTTAAGTGGCCCCAAGTAAGTACCCTGCACATGGAAATTATGATAATGTACGGACTTAGGTGTTGCAAGATATCCTGATCGACAGCATTGTACGCGCCTGCATAATTTGCAATACAAACATCCCCTGACAATCCATTCCCTTCCTATAGTACGATATACCGTATACCCACAGAACCCTGCTCTGGGAATTTAAGCTCCTACATGATCATTTCATCTGTTGCTTACTCTGAGGGTCAGGGGGACTTGTAAGTTCAGTAGATCACAAACACATACCAGGCATCGCCGTCATTAGCTTACTTACCAAGTCCCACTGATCTCCCGAGTAGTGCTTGAGCTTGCCGAGCATCAGCCATGCCCAGCCACTGCGTGACTTCCTTTCAAGTCGCAGGAAAGCAAGGTGAGCAGGGGCTTCTCACGGTGTAGTTCCAGGTGGTGCTGGAATAGACCCTATTTGGAGGGTCAGGCGGACTTAGTAAGCAAGCTAATGCCCCTAATTTATAAACCCCCTCCCCTTCATAGGGATTATAATAGAGATCCTAATACTAAGGCCCTTCAAGGGAGGGCGTTTATCAATCACGGGTCTACATTAGGGTTTAGGGCTTAGGGAACTTTCAGGGACCTTGAGTTTTCATCCGGACAGCCAAACCTTACACCCCAATCCCCATAGTCATGTCGGAATCCACATTTTGCCCTTGTGGATTCTTCAGCCCCAAACCCTACAAAGCTGAAAAGCTGTGACCTTGCATACCTTCAAGCCCTCATCCCCAAACCGCAAAGCCCAGCAATGCCTTCCTACTAGCTTTCCAAATGCCCGCCACACCGCCTGAGCAATATTGAGCACATCTCATGATGCGAGGCCTGCTATAGAGAATACGTACTAGTATAACGTGCGCAACAGTATTGTTACAACTATTAAACCTGGTGCTATTACAATGTGACAGTTACCTTCACTTTTGCTATTACTAGTACAATGACTACTACGAATATTGGAACTGTTAACACTGCTACTACTACTACTACTACGACGATGATGATGACGGCGGCGGCCGCCGCCACCACCACCATCACCACTTCAAATTGTGATTATGGCTATTATTACAACTACTATTACGGTTGGTACTAACAATCCTGCATGGCAGTAAGTCGCGTAAACCCTGAGAATTATGGCAGCTCAGTGTCATAAGGTCATGTAGACATGTTGACCTCCCTAACTCTCTGTTACCCTAGACCCCAACCCTTTTTCCCTTCTTTTAAAACTGGCCTTCAGCGTCACTTCGCAGGGCCAGGCATCCCAAAGGCACCGATTCCTCACTCAGATCTCCAGACCCAACAGGCCACAGGAATAGTGATTTTTTGAGGGTTAAACTAAGTTGCTTATAAAACACCATGCCCAACAGGAGAACATAGTCTGGCTTGATATTGGGAATTTTAATATCTCCAAATAAAATACGACCGGCATAAACGTGAGTATCCTCCTTAGGATTTAGGTTCTTTGGGGTTTGGACCTCTGTTGGATACGTCGTGGATCTGCCCAAAACCGGGTTCACCTGAATACCCACGGCCAGAAGTTTAGGGTTTCGGGTTCCGGCTAAGGATAATGCTCAAAGGCTCAACCTGGGCTCCTTCTGCTCATGTTCTTGTGGTGGCTCGGCTTAAAACTTGAGCCTCGAGACTTCTTATGCTATAAGTCTATGAAGAGCATGCCCTGCAGACGGCGCAAAGGTCATATCTGAGAGTTCTACAGCAGCCCTGATTTGCAACCCCATCCGTTTAAGGGCCTCACCATTAGGATCCTCATTCTAATCCCTATTAAGGGGAGGGGGTCTATTCATCCGGGGTCTACATTGACCCTAAACCCTAAAACCCTAAAACCTTAAACCCTAAAGCCCTACACCCTAAAACCCTAAACCCTAAACCCTAGACAAATGAGTCAAGGTATGTTCAAATGGTAGTTTCCCAAAATAAGGGGACCCCAATATAGACCCCAAAATACTATAGTCCTTATTATGGCGACCCCCAAAAGGGTACCCCTAGTTTTGGGAAACCTCCAAATCGATCCAAGATTCCGCACTTCCTCATCGGACTCACATAGGCCGCCCTCACAGGCGCCAAGGTTCCCAATCCTGAGGCTGTTTTAGGGTTTATGGGTTTAGGGGCTTAGGGTTTGGGGGTTTAAGGCTTTAGGGTTTTTGGGTTTAGGGCTTAGGGTTTGGGGGTTTAAGGCTTCAGGGTTTATGGGTTTAGGGCTTAGGGTTTGGGGGTTTAAGGCTTCAGGGTTTAAGGGTTTCGGGCTTGGGGTTTGAAGGTTTAAGAGTTTAGGGTTTAACGTGCCCAGGCAGGTATATGTCGGATACTAACCCCATGTAGTAGCAGTACATAGCCGGGGTAACTTTATATGGGCTGTATGTTATCATACTGCGTATATAATATTACCCAGCTGTCACTGTGTAGGGAGAGTGTTAAGGCATGTTACAAGACAGTACGATTCACATGTCAAAGCTTTTCCCATTCAGCTGCGGGATCGTGGTCATGCCCAGGTACTTGTACAGAGCGCTGTTCTCATTCACCATGTTACCTCGAATCATGGGAAACAAAAGCAATGATGAGCCTTTGCTGTTTGGCTTCGGAGGGCCCAAAAGACAAAAATCTACTCCGAATCACAGTTACCCATGATGTTGAGGGCCAAGTTTGGGCCCAACACAATGGCGCATAGAAGGAAAACAATGCCCATCTGCCGAATGAACTGGAAGTAGAGCGATACTCCGACACCTTGGTCATCGTTGGAAGGTGCTACTTACACTGTTCTATGTATATATATATATAGCGTGTATACTCAGGGTAACTTAAGCTAAAGCTTCTTAACAGCAACCCAAATTAAGCATAAGGCTTACAGAAAACCTAGGATTTAGAGCTTTAGGGTTTAGAGTTTAGTATCAGGAAAGTTTCTCTTCTTCTTATAGCATCCGAAAGGAGAATGTAAACATACTGTGTATTGAGAACTATAGTAACCCTCTTTAAAATGCTACTCAACTGGTCCGAACACCATACACGCCCAGGTCGGATACTTTCGTCCCACAGCAGGACCTGCGTGCTCTCAGACTCACACAAAGCAGTCCCTATGCAGGACTACGCCGGGGATTTTGAGGCTCCTGTATATTGCGGCTTCAAAAAGAAGCTGCTTCTTCCTCTGAAACTCCCTATCTTGACCAGCAGATTCCAACTTGTGGGCAGACTCTGCGCTATAGTCTAGACTCCTAGTATCCCCCTTAATACAGAGCATAAAACTATCCTGAATAATCCCCGATATAATGTTCTAGGGAGTTTAGAGTATAGCTCATCTCATGCCAGCACAGAGCTCTGCCTGTACTTGTACTTGTTCGTAGTCTCATCGTAGAGCGTGCAAGCATTCTGGTCCCTGAAGGCTTTGGCGGAATCCTGGGCTCTTGGTTTGGGGTTTAGGATTTAGGGTTTCGGGCTTATATTGGGGTTATATTGAAATAGTGGACAATAAAATGGAAACTACTATAACGGGGTTATAGTTATATAGGGTTTAGGGCTTAGGATTTCGGAGTCTTGTTGGCAGAAGGCTAGTAAAGGTGATGGTCACTTGTTAGTCGGTCGAAGTGGCTCCGCTTCAGAATATGGAAGTTATAGACCCCAAACTAGTATAATCCTTATTATAGGGACCGCCAGAAAGGGCACCCCTGATTTTGGGAAACCCCCTTATGGATGCCTAACATACGCCAAGAGACTGATCCTTGGGACGAGGGGCTCGAACAGAATATAGGGTTTAAGGTTAAGGGCCTAAGGTTTAAGGTTAATACAGCCCAAGCGTTCAAAGAGGAAGCGGCGCAATACAAACCTGAAGAACTGGAAATACTAAACTTCATAATGCAGACCCCTAATTCTAAACCCTAAACTTTTGAATAGTAGCTTCCATTTTACCTTCCATTACCCCCATAGTAGCTTCCATTTTACTTTCCATATTCATTTTGCACTATTCACAGACTCCAATGCACGCCACAGCTACTCAGATGTTGTCGCCCTGAACCCACACGACCCTGAACAAAACTAACTCCCGGACCCCAAATCCTGCCACAAACCACGGACCACGAATCCTAAATCCCAGACCTACCCCTTACACCCCAAATACTAAACTCTAAACCCCAGAAAGCCCGCAACTTCAACCCAGGGTCCTTCAGCTCCTGACGGCTCTTGATCACCACCTAGCCAGCTTTCTACCGCAAAACCTAGAGAAGTAGAAGGGTTAGGGTACCAACAGAAAATCAAACAGACAAGGAAATTAAAGATGAAATTGGAAACTATCATGTAGGATTTGGTGTATAAGGTTTTGGGTTTAGATTGTCTAGTGAATTTTTGACTGTCAAGTATTCAAGCTTCCGGGTAGGTGTGAAACATTGCGACGCTGACAGTGGCTCATGAAGTTTGCACATACATAGAATGCCCCCATGCAAGAGCCCAAGACCCATGGAAACCTCCAAATCTACTTGAGCAATTCTGTTGGCGCTATAGGACTGGGAAAGATGCAGATCCTGACAAAACGAGCAAAGAAGCTAGCAAAATGGAGGAGCGACATAGCTCTTCTGAGATTCCATTCCCCCAACGGAATCCCTAACATCCTTCATGCTACACAGGCCAAACACGCTACAGCTTTGTCTTCATATCGTGTGGAGATGCTTTAGGCTCCCACAAAAGGCCTGTACTTGCCTAGACTTGTATACATCTATATGAAAACCTGAACAACTTGGGCTATCTCCCACAAAAAAAGGTATTGTTAGTTCAAAGACGGCTAATGGATTACGTTGTGTAAGCTGCTCACCTGCAGTTCCGAAACAAGTTGCGATCTCTCTTCAAGATACTATTGCTATCTTTATTACAGAAAAAGGGGCGATTCATTCGTGGAAGCACCCAATATCCATCCATACTGCTCATTTGATAAGTTTTAGGGTTAGGGCTTAGGCACATGCGTTGCACTCAGGCTTAATTAGGGTTTAGGGTTTGGAGGTGGTTGAAGCAAGTAAGGTTGAAAAACACTACAACAAAAGTGATGACGCAAGCTGACTCTAGACTCTGTACATGGCTTCATACCCCACCATATCCCAATAACCCTAGACAACCCCTGTATTCCGCCTTTGAACAGGGATTCTAGTATCCCCAGCTGAAGTACCCCTCACTTGAGTCGTCTTTTTTGTTGGTTGAACCTAGCAAGATAATATTCCTTATATAAAATACTATACCCAAAAGGAGGATATAATCTTACTCTATATTGGGTACCATAGTCTCCCCAAATAAAATACTACCCAAACAACCCCTATATAATCCCAGT